CTAACTGGTCTGTGCTTGGATGCCACTCCCTTGTCTCAAGCATATATAAAAGCAGGCATTCTCTTCATCATAACAACTAAGATTTAAAAAAAAAATGGGGAAAAAATCAGTGAAGATGTCAGGCATCCAGAGTCTTACAGTGCAGGGAGGAGAATTAACTTGGTTAAACTAATTTTGAAAATTTTCTGGCAGTAAAGCCAAACAAATCCTACCCTCCATTCTGGAATTCTCATCTACCTACAGCAACTTCTGCATATGTAAGTCCAAAAGCACAAAGAAGGGCATAATAAAATCATAACCCCAAACTGAGCAACTTGAAACAACAAGCATTTCTTATCTTGGAAGTAACAAATCATCACCTCTCTTATTTCTGTTGCTTGCAGCATTGGGACAGTGTGAGAGCAGAATCCCACCTGTCCATGTATACCAGGAGGCAAGAATCATTCAGGCCATCTTGGAGGCTGGCTACTGGGAGAACTGCGTTTTCTGGTTAGAGACTACAAAGTATCTGAGATCTGTAAATCTGTCCCTGCTAGGATGGATAAACAAATGGTGCTGTAGTTGCACAATTGAATTCTACATGGCAATGAGAATGAACCATTGGTGTCTATAGAGAACACGGCAGCTGTATCTCACATATGTTGCCTTGCACGTGAGCCAGACACTAGAGTATATACTACATGATGCCACTGATGCAAGGTAAAGAAACAGGCAAGCATGCGTGAGAGGCCAGGACAGTGGTTTCTTCTGAAAAGAGTGTGATTGGGACTGAGCACAGAGCGTGCTTGGTGTTCAGTTTCTTCATCTGGAGATTTGTTCTGCACATTGCTTTGTGCAAATTATTGAGTCGTACACCTGTTACTGTGTGTTGTACTTTACTCATTTGTACTTTTAAAGGATTTTATTTTATTTTTGGTGATGTTTACATAGTTGAAACAGATGCATGCCCATGCTGGCCACAAATCAGGGTGGGAAGGGCCGAAGAATAGGGAAAAGTAGATGACACAATTGCTTCCATTTTTTTTCTTGTATCTGGGGGTAGCAAAGAGAGAGGGGAGAGGGCTGCTCCCAGAAATCTAACCTTTTCAGTTCCCTGGGGATGGGGGATAGCCACTGATGTCATCCTAGGATGCCATCTTCTATGAGAGCAGGTTCCAAGGATACTGCTTAAGTGGTTTCAATAGTTCTGAAATGTTGGTTTTGTTGAGCCAAGGTTGAGGAAATGCTTCCAAGGTCCATTGGCTGACATAACCCACCTGAGAGTTTCTACTCGCCCAGATACTTGCCCTCAACGCTTGGCCAGGAGAGCTGTCCAATTTGTTCAGCCCTCCAACCTCTACTATGGTTCTGCTTGTCCTGTAAAGGCCTCAATTAACTGTTGTGTCCTCCATGTATATCTGGGCATACTATCCACTGCACAGCCTTCAGCAACTGAGAAGGCCCATTCTGACGCATGTCCTTGAGAGTCAGACCATAGATCCTGTGATTTTTTTTTTCCGTGGTTGGAGTTCTGAGTCCAGCGGTTCATTTGGGGTATCCCCAAAGAAACCTCACCTGAGGTGATCCCGGACCTGACTCCTGTGTATGCCAGTCAGTATAGGGTCTGGCTCAGTCTATTCCCCACATTAGCCTGTACATCTCTATTTGCTCTACTTTAATCAGAGTTTTTAAAAGCACACGTTAGAAAATCTTTATTGCTTTCCTTCTCTTGAGATATTATAGCAATGATTTCAGTTATGGCTTCCTTGATATCAAACAGGGTGCTGGAGACTGAATGGTCTCCCTCCCAACAAAAGCATGTATTGAAATCCCATTCCCAATGTTGAATGAGATGATGATGTCATGAGAATGATTGCTTCACAGACGGGAGAAAGCCTCAGAGAGCACCTTTGTGGCTTCCACTCTTTGTAAGCACGGGAAATCAGAGTCTAGGAACTAGAAAAAGGCTCTAACTAGATACTGACTTTGCCAATCACTTGATCTCAGACTTCTGAGGCTCCTGAACTATGAGAGAGAAATTCATATTGTTTATAAGCCACCTGCTTTCTTCTATCTTTGTTATAGCCACCTCCACAGACTAAGATGCTGGGTTAACTGTAAGGAGAGGTCCGCTTGCCAGCTGCACTGCTCAGCTTCATGGGCTATAAGAGCTTGTTTGAGGAAGTCACCTCTGTGTGCTATGGTTTCCTCAGTCATACAGAGTAGCAGACACTTCAGAGAGTGGTGGGGACTGTGGACTTCATGGCAGGGACAGTTGATCAGTACTAGAGTCAAGGAATGATTTAAAAAAAAAGTGTAAGCAATTTATCCATGAAAATCCTTTAGATAAGTTTTCAATCATTGGGAAGCAGGCTCTTAGAAATGACTTAGAAACTTGTGATTTACTTATTTTATTTCTCTTTAGATTTTCTATCATAGCATTCATTTTTGCAAGGCACTTAAGACAAGGTTGGCTTGAAAAGCTCAATGAGATAAGAAAAAAATGGGATAACTCACCATCTCAATTTTTCTTTTGTGGTGAGGACCCATCACTGAGCTCCCATTTTGAATGCTCCTTCACACTGACTCTAGTGCATAGGAAAGCACTGAAAATCTGACAACATGAAGGAAATACAGATTATTACTCATCTTTGGAACGTGTCTTTTCTCCAGAGTGTTTTGGTCCTAGAAACACTTTGGATAACAGAGTAAAACAAGGTGATTAACTAATGACATTTAATCAAAGCAGGGTGCTGCCTGTTGCTTAATTACTTGTTGATCTATTAAGGAGAGGAAGAAACTGAAATCCACATTAGACGCTATTGTTACCTATTTTGTAATGATATAGTTCCTTAGAGTTTATAAAATTATTTCCTTAAAATTAAACTGATTGTAAAGATGACATTCAACCTGTCAGGATCGCTTTTTTTTTAAAAGGGAAAGTTGAGATTGCTAACCTCATCTGCTGAGATCAAAGCCAAAACTCTTCCCAGGAGTTCTGATGGTCTATTAACTATATCATTATCTACCATATCTGTCATTATGTTTCTATTATTGTCTAGCCATCATTGTCCATCCACCTATATTCATATATGTGTTCCTTTAGGCAGAGAGCAGTGGCAGAATGCAGAGACAGATTTGAGGATTTGTCATTTGGCTCATCCACCTGTTCTCTAGGGAAGATTGCTTAATGTAAGCAAGGCAGCAATGAGGGGAGAGCAGTCTCCAGGCATATGTGGTTTTTCACGTAGGCCAGAGACCTGATGCACAGGGTAAGGTAAAAGTACTCCTGTGCATTCTGGAATGTTTGGGTTTTACGGGAATCCTGCCTGGTGATACCACTGGTTTCTGATACATCAGGGTGGGTCAGGTGATCTTTTAAAATATACATTTGTGCATGTTTCATGTATATATATGCATTTGATGCCATTTATATAAAGAAGCTATTTGTAACGTTAGTTCTTTCCCAATAACACAAGTCGTGAGCTAATTCATAATTAGTCTTTTGTGTTGAGTGGCAGTTATTTTAGTTTTCTTGTGTTGAGTGGCAGTTTTCCTTATGTAGTACCATCTCTGTATCTTACAGCTTTGGAAGGGTCTGTATTTTGTCATGGGACTGGAGGGACCCCCATCCGTTCCCAGACAGAATAACTCCTCTACCAGGGCGGTCAATTGAACTGGAGCCTTTCTGTGGTATTGCGTTTGGACCTCAGGAAGCAGCATGAGGCCCCCTGGTGGTTGGAAACTATTCATGGGATGGCTGTTCTGGCCTATTGAAGTTTGCAGATGTGACTGGAAAAAATAAAACATAGTTAATAAGCGCTAGACCTGGTGCCCTCGGTAGAGACAGGGTGGAGTGGGAGACTGTATTTTGGAGAGAGTTAGGAATGAAACTATCAAATCTGAAGAAATTAGAATGGATTGTGGATTGGTAAAGCACCCACTCCCTGAGTTTGCATTCTTTTGTTCATTTAGCACCTCAATTAGGCACTTACTGAGAAACCAGTTATGCAAGACATTATCATACTGTGATCTAAATAAAAAAGCTACATGAGACCCGTCTAAGAGAACCTGGCCTGATTAGCTCATGGACACTTGCAGGGCTTAGAGTAAGAGTGGAGGTGGGATACATCCATTTTGACCCAGATGGGCAAGAGCCTTGAGTTGACCTGAGGAATTTTCCCATAAAGCTCTGAATATCTTTAAGTAGAAAAGGAAACCTGGCGGAGGGCAGGCTTCCTCACACTGGAATGACCATATTGTTGTCCTCTCTAAGCCAACGGCAGACCTCCAAAGTCCTTACTGCTTACCCACTTATGAAGTTGCCTGAGCACCAGCGGTAGTCAGCATCAAAGGATTCCAGTCACATTCAATTACATTTCTCTACAGAACGCCTTTCACTGAATATGGTATGCTAGGCTTTGTTTGCTTATTTATTTTATCCAGGTTCTTATAATTTGCTTCCTATCTATTTTCCTGCCTTGATTTATTGTGGTTTACTCTATATGAACAAGGAATATTTCTGGCTGGAGTTCTTGTTGTGGAATGGCTCAATACCCACAGCAGTATCCCAGAAAGAATCTTTATTGCTTTGTATTAAAACCAACCAAATAAGCCACTAGAGAATCTATAAAAGGTCTGTTACATAGTTGGTGCTCAGAAACATGTATTAGGCAGATAATTAATTCAAATTTATTAAAAATGGAATTGCTATCTAAAAGCACATGATAAAATTTCAGATGCTTGTCATGAATTTCCTAATAACAGCATAGAAATATTTTATGGTAAAGCAAACATAATTAATACTAACTCCAGAAGTAGTAGAAAAAAGTGATATTATAAATATAAAAGATGTATATCTTGCATACTATACACAAGATATGTAATATATATAAAATATATAAAAAGTTAAGAAGCAGTGTCTGGGAAAAATACAGCTGATACCTTGTAAATGAGACAAGGGAAAATGGACAACATGGAATTGCCGTAAAAACAACAGAAACAAGCATTTAAAAAGTTTCAGCAGCAATGAGTATTTATTATTTTGAATGAAAATGAACATTAAATTTTATATAAAAAAGTCATCAAAGTGCTATTATTGGATTATTTTGACATTAATTTAACCCCCATCATCTAAATATACCTTTTTCTGGCTTTCTCTTTTACTTCTGACACTGACTTCAATTAACTCAGATTATCCAATGTTAACAAATAAAAATATTAGTTTATTCTTTAAGATAAAGTACCACCAGTGATGAGTTACTGAAAATGAACAATGAAAACAGATGCCAGAAAGTCAACTTCTTGAAAACAAATGATCACAGAATCTCAAAGCACGATGCAGAGTCCAAGGCCATGTGGAACCCTGGCAGAATGTTCTTAGGATACAGCTTGTTCATTCTTTTGGAGGCAGGTAGACGGTGCACCACACCTGTCTTTTTATTGTCCTGTTATTTATCGTCAACTCTCCAATGTGGACCAAGTGTTGTCTAATGCAGCACACCACCTAGGGCCCCCCCCCAAAATCGTCTGTTGTGAAGGAAAAGCTGATTTTTGCCCTATTAGAAATAGCCCTTAGGGTTAAGGTTGTCATTAGAAGACACTCGTCAACCCTCGCCATGCACGACCCCTCCACTCCCATCCCATCCTACCCCTTTCCTTGTCTGATACAAGTCCATTGTCCCCCAGGCGAGTTCAAGGTGAGTCGGTGGACAAGGGTAGAGCAGGTTTTTCAGGACAGGCGTCCTATTTGGTCTCATTCAGTCTTAAGCAAACAGGCTTCTCTGATGTGCCACGAGAGCTGTCTGACTCTCCCGTCTCCTGGCTTTCTTGCTCTGCTGTCTCACCTTCCAGCACAAGGCACTGGAGGCTAATAAAAAAAGTCCAGATGACAAAAGGACCAGGCCAAAGATGGAGATGATGGAGCCATGGGAGTTGAAGCTGTAAGCCACCGCAGTGACCACTATGCCTGCAATGAAGACCACCACAGCAAAGGGAATGACGCAACGGGAGCAGGAGAGTTCAGCTCCCCCAGTGGCTGCCATCAGCTGAATCTCACTGACCAGCGGCACTGTGGTGATCACCACTTCGCTCTTGGGGCTTTTCTCCGTTGTCGCTGGCAGGGGAGATTTTGGGGTCCCCAGGATCTCTTTTTTGGGCTCGTCCGTCATTTTGATGATGACAGTGCTTCCTAGCTGGATTGGCAGACTAGATCTGGAGGGTCTGTCTGGGGTGGGAGCTGTGGAGAGGTAGATAGGAGGTGTTACCTAGATGTAGCAAAATGAGCCATACAAGAAGTCAAGAGCAGCTAAAACACCTCCATGCCAGGCGGCACGGTTGCATGTGAAAATCAACTTTCATTTCATTCTAATTGGCTTGCATTCTCTTTGCACAGGGCAGAAAAGACAAAGCAGGTATGCATAAAGAAAAGGAAGATATAAAAATCAGGAAGCATTTTACAGTGTTTAAAATACCCAGGCACTCTACAAATGTTTTATAAAATTTTCCACTTTGTCTATTGCTTCTCTTCCCTTGATTACAGAGTACAGCCTGAATTCTCATCCAAAGATGGCCTCATTTGAGAGAATATGCTATAAACAGTTCCACAACTCATAACAATTTAGACCCTGCCAATTTTGCCTGGCATAACATGCAGATCTTCCAAACCAATACCATTCACTGCCTGTAAAATCAATGTCAAGATAAGCAGCCAGGGCACCAGTGACGTTCTCCGTTATCCGACAGGCACCCCGTCTTTATTGTGTCACCCTTAAAACATGCAGCATGAACCCTGACACCTTATTCACTCACAACTGGAGACTAGGTCAGCAAAAATCATAATGAGGAGTGAAATTATGAAGCGCAGCAGTACTTAGATCCACTTGACGAGAGAGAAAAATAAGAGAAAATAATCTCAAAAGCTTTGAAGGATGTAATTTTGTGATGTTTTCTCACATGAAAGATGCAATGAACAATTATGTCATCGGCTCTCAATTCGGAAATGTTCTATTAAATTCTACAAAGAATTTTGATGTTATGTATTGTGATATGCCTAAATACATAGGCATGCTCAATTTTTTTTTTTTTTACAATGTCGTAAGTAAAGGAATGTACATGCTCAATTTTTCGATAAAAATGTCACAAATGTGTTCCCTCTACCCGCACAAACTTGTGACTTGCGCTTGCTGCAATGCCCCTTTCGAAATACGCTGAACCTGAACATTTCAAGACAAAACTAGGGACCCTCAGTCAAACACGTGCAGTCAACATGCTGTCTGTGAGAAAGCAGGGGAAAGTCCATCCTGCTGCTGACGCACGTTCAGTCAGCATCCTCCCTCTGGCTGCTCAACAGTTGAGCAGTTGCTGAGAGTTTAAGGGGAGATACTTGGGACCCTTTCAATAAGAGCAATATATTGACAATATTAAACATCTGCCAAGACCAAATGCAACCCCAAATCCCAACTCACTGGTGCTTCCCTGACCTGGGAGATCAGAACTGTACAACCTGAACATCAAAACTGAATAGTAAGACCTGCTGATGTGTATGTAGTTTATAGTCACCAAGATAACCACTATTGTCCAATGATACCCTAAATCCTAACGGATATTTGAGATCATGTCTGAAAAGCAATTTTTTTTTTCTCCCTAACACTGAGACTCAGCTGGTCTGAAAATGAAGATCAGTCCCCGGAGTACTTACCTGTATCCCAGAGAGAGGCAGTCCATTACCGGGAAGACCACTGGACTTCCAAGGGCAGGAACAGGCACACTGGAGCTTGGCTCCGCTTCCGACAGAAGAGCCTGGGCCAGCAGGACTGTTCACCAAATGACAACTCGGGGATCTCTTCTAGGGAAAAACATGAGAAACCACTGTGCTGTGTGGCTTGGCTGGCAATCCTAAAGCTCCCTCTCTCGGGCTGTCTCTCTTCTGAAAGGAAGTTTGGCGTTGACCTCCCTCCTTATTCCCTCCCCCTCTGGCTTGCCCCTCCCTGGTATGTGGGGTGTGTGTGTGTGTCCCTTCTTTTCCTGGCCAACAGATTCTGAGTTTTGGCTCCCCCCACCCCTGCCCCGACTCTGCTCAGTGAAGTGATAAGTCAGAATCAAGTCTACAGAATCCCCAGAGACAGGAGCCGGCATTGACTTTTATTTCTCTTGCAGCATTTACTGTGCAGACCGCTTTGAATTACTCATTTTTTCCCCAAGCCAACCTCCAGATCTTCCTCCCACCCATTAGGCATTTTCACAAGGAAATCCCGTAGCTGGTGTTGTGGACGCAGCTGAGAGGACAGAGCTGAGAGAAAAGACACTGGAACAACTGTGACATCATTGAGCAGCTGAACTCACCTTTAGACCAGCAGAGAGCTATATCCCCGGGTTTCCCTGTGTTCTTTAGTTGCGTGCTATTGGTAGTCATCCAAGGCTTAGAAATCCCACTGTTCCCAGTTAATTCATTTAGAAGTCAGAGTGGGAAACAATAAATTTGTGCCACACAGGAAGAAAACTAGTCATCCTGAGTTAAACACGGTAGCAGACTATTTTACTAGAAGGTGAATAACTTGTGCTATTTCACAACCATTCTCAGAATCGTCATCATCGCTGTCATTGTGTAGCACACCTGCCGTGCCCATCACAATATCTTGGAATGTTACACATGAACTGTAAGGGCCACTCGTTTATGAAGCAGGAACTAGTGGCTCAGTGAGTTCTCATTAGCTGACAAGAGTCCCACAGAAGAAGAGGCACGCCCTCTTGAACCCCAATCTTAACTGGGTATAGAAATCATTTGGCAACATTGTTAAATGCAGATCCCATTCAGTGGGTATGGACAGGCACCCCAGCTGTATGCCCAGGCTACTGCTTCTCAGTTCACCTTCAGGAGTAAGGTATTTTAAATATTGCAACATACAGGAGGACTCAAGCTGCATACTCTCAAAGAGTAAAATTGAATGTTTACTTCTCATCAGCCATAAAGGGCCTTATAGATTAATTCTTATAAATGACCTGAAACTTAAAAGTACTTGAAACACATAAAACCACAGATTATCTCTTTGAGGGGAAAAGTACTGGGGGATTTCTATAAGCGTGTCCCTCTATTTCTGTAATAAGAATTGGCCCATCGCTCATTTTTAAATCTGGACAAGTGTAACTCCTGAACAATACCATGAATCTTCAGATTCACTTTTAGATGCGAGCATTTTTCCATTCTTCTCAAGAATATGATCTGGCTCTAACTCACAGCTTAGCAATGCCACATTCCCACACATGGCAACTCTGTTGCAGGACCACCCATCCTTCCCAGCCTCCTGCAGTTACAAGATGAGAGAGAGAGAGAGAGAGAGAGAGAGAGAGAAAGAAGGAAGGAAGGAAGGAAGGAAGGAAGGAAGGAAGGAAAGAAAGAAAGAAAGAAAGAAAGAAAGAAAGAAAGAAAGAAAGAAAGAAAGAAAGAAAGAAAGAAAGAAAAGGAAAAAAGAAAAGAAAGAAAGAAAAGGAAAAGAAAGGAAAGGAAAGAAAGAAAGACCCTTTCTAGAATGGAAGCCAGAGACCAGGTTTCCCCATTTGCAGAGACAAGGTTGAAAAGCTCCTGTAGCTTGGCCGAGTTGGAGGCAGGCAGCCTGCAGAGAATACCCCACACTTGAAGGCTCCTATGCCTACCATCCTCACACTTCTAAACTGTGGGGACTAACAGCACTCAGCCGTCGCATCAGGGCTCTGCAAAGTTGCCCCTGGAAGATAGGGATGTATGGGGGCTGCTGGAGGCTCTTGAGAACGCCTGCAAGCAGCCGCAAGACTTCCCAGCTGTGAACTGTGGTCTTCGGCGACAAGCCCTCCCTACTTCTCTCCCTGCCCCCACCGGCAGCACTACTACCCCCAAAAATAAGCCCACAGAAGCTGAGTTTCACCCTATCCTCGGCAAGATAGTACTTCTTTGTTACAAAGCCAGAAGTACGGGCATGGAACTAACTTCCAGAGGGAGGCCACAGGCATCTTTTTCACCAGTGAGCCATTGGCTGCCTAGGGAGCAGCAAGGGTGTGCAAGCCCAGAGCGCCGGGCAGGGACTGCGAACAGCCAAGCCTGCTTCACCCTGCTCAGGCTTCAGGGTCTCCTTCCTTCACACCTGTGTGCCTCCATCTAGGAACGTGTACACATCTCCAGACCCTGTGTGGACAATACATTCAGAGAAGTGGAAAACTTTGGGATAAAACAGAAATAGCGTCAGAACAGTAGGGACCTAGCTGAACCACTGACACTTGCCGGTGTACCTCACTTCAAACTGAAATTCAGAGTCTCTGGTGAGCCATGCGTGGTGCCCGGAGCATCCTTGGAGGCGCATCTATCCTCAAACGCAAAATTTCCTCTGCAGGGTAGGCAGCCTTCTTTCCGTGACCCCTCTGCTTCTGGAAGGAGGAGGAACGCTCCCAGGCGCTCTCCAAAGCCAGCACATGGCTTAGGACACTCCTCTAAGTTCAGAAAACTTTTCAAAATACCCCCACTCCCTCCCCTCCGGTGCAAGAATTCCGTCGGCAGCTTCCCTACTCTAAGCCGGGTGAGCATTCAGCAGTCCTCCCCCCGGATCTTTTAAAGAGCTAGGCAAAGATCCTTACCTTGTCCAGCCAGAAGCGGACTGAGACAGCTGCCAGCCCAAACTGCGAGCCCCAGAGAGGGGATGCAAATCGCTGCACTAGGGACCGTGAACAAAGTTCTCAGCAGGGCTTAAGCACAATTAAGGGACCGGAGACAATTCAGTGAAAGGAAATCCCTTCAAAGCTGCTGCGTTTCGCTGGTTTCCTCCGTGACAGGGTGATCCATCTATTATTATTATTTTTTTTAAGAGCACAAAGTCCGAAAAGGATATCCTCCTAGGCTTTTTCCCTCTTTATACCCATATTTAGGGATTCTCAAACTTTTCCCTAAGCATTCTGATGCTATCCCTTTGCAATACTGGGAACATGTTGAATAAGAGGTGCAGTGTTTTGTCCTCCACTTCTCCAGCAGAATGGGGGGTGGGAGGTGGGTGGCATTGGGAGTTGACTACCAATTAATCTTTTTCACTGTGAAATGTAACTCAGGGGCGTTCAAAGAATATAGGACTTGTGGGGTAAATGGCATGAGGAATCCATGGAGACCCTGTCCCGGACATTGGGGATGTGGTTATCAGAGGCCAAGGTGCCAGGGCAGTGGTGATGCTCTGGAAAATGGCCTCTCTGAGGGACTGAAGTGACCCTCCCCCCAAAACACATCAGGAACCCACGGAGCTGGAATTGCTTGCTGGCTGTTCCAGGGGAAACTCCCCCTTCCCACACCCCCACAGGAAAGATGTCATTGTTTCTTGGAGGTGATGCCAAGGAGGCTGGAGAGGACCAGGACAAAGAGACCTTGCGGCCCCGTTTCCCTTTGGTGGAAACCGGAGAGAGGGCAAGCGGCGGGCTGGAGAGAGGGACTTGGTGATTTTTTTTGCTGGTACGTGCATGCTGCTGGCGACCTGGGAAGCTCCCCGGTCGGAGCCTACCCTCTACATTGTGCAAAGAGAACCCCATGTGCGTTTGATTACTCGCTCGTATTTGCTTTCAGTTTGATTTTGCGTGGTGTGGTGGGGTTGGTTTTTCGCCAGCAGCCTAGAGGATGCCAGTTCCCCTGGCTCTCTGTCCATTCCTGGCATGCCTTTGATCTCTGTCATCATCCAGGCCAATTGGGTGCAGTGCGATTCGGGAAGCTGGCCAGTTTGCCTCTTTGAAGGGTGTGTCCGAGGGTTCATCCTGACATCCTGAATGTTCTGGAAGGTGAACTTACTTGTGTGTTCGTTTTGCATAGCAGGTCATGTTTTCATTCTCTCTCTCACCCTAAGGCATGTTCCTGTGAGTTATTAAAGCAGAGATGAGGTTGTACCAAGAGAAACAGCAAATATGCCTTAAGGTATAGCTATGCGTTAATTAATGGCCGATTTCCTGTTTGAGAGCCTTATAGGATCCAGGGAGCCACAGAAAGAAAAGCATACTTATTTCCAGATGTTCATCCAAACCCCCATGATGCTCTGGGTAATGGTGAAAGATCATTTCAATATAAAAATCACATACAGTCTCTCAAATCAAACGATACTGCAGGGCAGGCTGGACAGATCATCCCTCATTCAACACACATTGTTTATTGAGGCCTCAGATGAGATAAGTTGGTTTTCTTGTTTCGAAATTAGAGTTACTGAGTAACTCCAGTGATCCTGTTACATCCAGTGTATTTTTCTAACTAGTTCACATTGGTGTGTATTACTTTTGGGAGGCCTAAGCCAGGGAGGCCCAAGGGTAGAGAGCGACAGCCAGTTAGACCGCTGTTTCCTAGCCTAGGTACTCACCATTGATCAACCTCCACTGGTGAACTGTGATCCATGGCACTTGTAGGAAACTCATCATCAATATGTTCCAGGGACAGAAAGAGAGGAGCAAGGGCCATGCTGACCCCAGCCTTTGCTACTCCTCCTATACTGCATGGTACAGAGCCCGCTTAGAGATGCAATGTTCCTCTGGCCTGGGATGACAAATGTCACTTGTCATATCCTTAAAACAATGAAAACATTACATGACTGCAGGCCATTTGTAATAAGAACAGAATTTCTAGGCGTCAGGCTGGTGCTGGGGATTTGAATCCATCCTGTAACAGGTAGGATTTCTTTAAAAAAAAAAAAAAGAATCATTTGCAACATACATCCCCTGTAAGAGTCAGGGTTCTTTCTCTTTTCCATATTCGCAGAATAAACCCACCAGTCTAAATTAGCTGGCAGAACACAAGCCCGTATGCACGGGCCCTCCTCCCAATAATTAAAAATACAGTTTGATTGATGGATTTTAACCCTCTGCACTTGGAGAAGAGCCACAAGAACATCTTCAAACTTGAGGTTTAGGAGATGGAACAGTTTCTTGAGCTCATTCATTCTGAGTCAGCCCACTCAAAGTGCCCAGTTTAAAGAGGCAAAGAGCTCATTAACAACTGTCATGCATCTGTCATATACCACGCACAACACAGATTGGTTCTCAGGCATTTTCATTTTTTTTTTTTTTGTCACTGTTGGAGATGTTAAAACTCACCAGGGTTTAGTAAATGCACAGGATCCACTCATGAAGAAAGTGCCAGTGCCAGTGTTCAAATCTAGATGTCTTTCCTTCTGCAATGTGTTGCGAAGGCTCCAAATCTTTTTTTTTTTTTTTTTTTTAGATTATATGTATGCTCCTAGGTTTAGCTGAAGTCTCATTTCCTTGGGTTTTGGATGGCATGCTCTGACTAGCCACTGCCGCAGGGGCACGGATCACTCCTCTGCCTTTGAGGGGGCTTCAGTTCTATTATTATTCACCATTCTCCTTTTTGGTGCCAGGGGACTGCAAACTGCTCCAGCTGGGCAGCAATGGCCAGAGACAGGGCTTGGTGTTAGCTCTTACCCCGAGAACTAAGTGTCCAGTCCGAAACAACAAAGTCATGACCACACCAGTGCAAAGAATCTTACTCATCATTTCTGATCTCAGTGTAAGGGTGGGGTGGGAGTGGCAATGAAAACACTGTTAACTGGCAAATCGAAGAGTCTGGTTGAAACATCATAGTTGTGTTTAGTTCCTGCATCTGGGGATTTAAATCTGAAAACAGCGTGCTGCAGGTTGAAGTCCTTCAGCACAGCTGACATTTCACATAATAGCAGGTAAGCAAGAGGGTTCTAGGTGAAAGGAGTGACTTTTGCCTGAGCAACACTTTGAGAGCAGCAAGTCTTGGACACAGAACTGCAAGGAGCCGGTTCAGCTGCATCTCAGGGAGCAGGCAGGGAGCAATCCAAACAAGAGTGGAAATAGTTTCTGGTCAGATAACTGCCTCACTGTCGAGTCTGGAATTTCTTTCGAGAGCTCTGTGGTTTTGAATAGGAGGGCCCAGGGAGCTCTGTGTATTATCCACAGTATTCTGGATGAAAGTGCTGGATATGTGAGGGAGATGGCGGGATGGAACTGGGACTCCAGTCAGAACACCTTTTGTCTGTCCAGGTAAGAGGCACTTGGGCTTGATGTTGGGGTTTATAGGCAGATAAGAAGGGACCACAATGAGTTGAATCAGAAAAAGTTGGCAATGAATTTCATGTTGGGGAAGCTATGAAGAGAGAGGCATGTAAAGCTTGAAATCCCAAGTAATAGCTTAATGATACTGTCGCAGAAATAAAGAGACCAGGACAAGGAGTAGGGATGGGATAAAAGTTATGCATTTGGTTTTATTAATGTTGCTAATAAGTAGTGTCACATCTCCACTGGAAGTGCAAATGCTAGAGAAATTTGGCATTACTGACCTACTACAAATGTATGATTCTTTTAAAAAAAGTTGTCAGGTTAAATAATTCTGTCACAAGGTCACAGATGAAATTTCCATGAAAATTAGGAGTAGACCTATAATTTACTATACATATTACAATTGCTGACACATACATGAAAGTTGAGATTTTTTTTTGCTTTTTGAGTAGAATGAGAAAATAAATCTTTAGGGCCTGGTGCGACGGCTCAATAGCTAAATCCTTGCCTTACATGTGACAGCATCCCATATGAGTGCCAGTTCATGTCATGGCTGTTCCACTTCCCATCCAGCTCCCTGCCTGTGGCCTGGGGAAGCAGTCGAGGACGGCCCAAAGCGTTGGGACCCTGCACCCGCGTGGGAGACCTGGAAGAAGCTCCTGGCTCCTAGCTTTGGATTGGCTCAACTCTGGCTGTTGTAGCCACTTGGGAAGTTGGGGAGTGAACCAGCTGATGGAAAATCTTTCTCTGTGTTTCTACTTCTCCCTGTAATTCTGCCTTTCCAATAAAAATAAATAAATCTTTAAACATTTCTATTGCGCCCACTTGTCTTACCGCCCAGCAATAAGACGCAGACGTGAGTGAAGCCTTCTGCGGTAAAATTTATTGTGCACAGCAAGATGAGGAGGAAAGAGGCTCCGACCCCGGCAGGCTTTCTGCTCTTATGTGCTGTCTGGCCCCGCCTCCGCCGATGATAGGTCGGCGTCATGATTACGCAGGGTTCTGGGCGACTGGATTCGTCAGTCCCAGTGTTTACGTGCCTGCCGCGCCGCAGCTCACTGCGCAGTACTAGGCGCCTGCGCAGTACTGTGAAATCTACGTGACTCTCCACCAAACACCAAGATGTGGCTTCTCTGGCCGGCGCCATTTTGGGTACGGCATGTGGCCAGTGCATACAGATGCGGCTGGCAACACATTTCCAGCTTGACCCTTCCTTGGACTGACTGTAATAAAGAGCACAATCATTTTATCTTCAGTTTTAAACTTCATGAAGTCAAGAAAATAATGGCACAATTCCTTTTGTGCTGTGCCAGACATGTAAATAACACCCCACAGATCTGCTTAGATTTATTTCTCTAGTGGAAAGATAGAG